GCGTCGGGGTCGGTGCGGGGCCCTGTGCCGGGGTTGTCGCCGGCCCCTATGTTGGGGTTGGTGCGAGGCCCTGTGTCGGGGTCGGTGCGAGGCCCTGTGCCGGGGTTGTCGCCGGCCCTGTGTCGGGGTCGGTGCGAGGTCCTGTGTCGGGGTTGTCGCCGGCCCCTGTGTCAGGGTCGGTGCGAGGCCCCGTGTCAGGGTCAGCGCAAGGCCCCGTGTCGGGGTTGTTGCCGGCCCCTGTGTCAGGGTCGGTGCGGGGCACGCTGGGGTGGCAACAGGCCACGCCCAGCGTCCCTGCGGGGTCGGTACCGTCCCCTGTGTCGGCAACAGGCTATACGCAGCCCAACTCCCCCCTCCCGGTCAGGTTCGAGTGCGGTTTACACCACGACGCTTCTATGATTCTAAAATGTGGTGACCAAGAAAATCATTTTGGTTTCGGTTTTGAATCTCGTACACACTAGAATGGGCAGCGAAATATACAGCCAAACAGCCGTAATTCGGTAACGAAACTAGTGAACAGCTAAGTCCATATATGCATACGGTACGCGGCTGTAACAATGTTTAAGACAGCAGGAGAAACCAAAGTCGATATCTCATGAATGTGCTAGGTTTTGCACATGACTGCTTTTGTGCGGTCTACTAGCCTGTACGCAGTGCGTAAATACTGGCAATGGGCTAGGACTCGTTCTTAAAAATACGGCCCACAACCCGTCGTAAATGTGGTACCTCCTCACCCGTCGCAGATTCTGTTTTTCTCCTGCTTAAGTGTGAACACAGACATTCTTGGGACATTTCGCCCACTTGCTTCGCAGCACATCACTGCTGAGAAGCAGTGTTCATTGTCATTGGAGTTCGGGCCAGCGGTTGCATGACGACTGTGTCGACAAATCAATGGTCAAATCTTGCTGCTGAGTGACCTATGTATCATTAATGTATAGACATCAACTCATCCGTCCAGATCACCCGGAGCCCGCCTGACGAAAACCAGCCGCCCTGCATGCTGTAAAGACCGCCTGGGCCATATCGCACCCCTCTGGCCGTCCGTAATCTGCGCAGCTCTTCCCCATCCGCGAACCGATCCGATCCGATCCGATCATGTGAAAGATCGGGTGCCTGAACATCTGGGCGAAACGCCGCTTGCCTTACAAATAACGATATAACAAATATAACCTTACAAATAACGATCTTTGTTAACACAGCGAAGCCTACAGCAGTCGACAGAGGTGAGTGCCCACTAAAACAGCCGACAGAGGTGAGTGCCCACTAAAACAGCCGACAGAGGGGGTGCCCACTAAAACAGCCGACAGAGGTGGGTGCCCGGAGGCCGTCCCGACGGAGAAGAGCGTGCGCCTGGCGGTGCCGCCACGCTGCGCCGCATTGCACTGCTGGCTGAGCGATGCACACCCCGGCGGAGCGGGTCGGCGGCACGGCACCACAGAGCCGGGCGCGTGCCGCCTCTAAATCCCCCCCCCCCCCTCCCATCTCCGTGCGCTTAGTTCGTCCGCCTGCATGGCCGGTAATTGGATTAGTGTATGATTGGTGTTTTGTGCGCGCGCGGCGGCGGGGGGTGTCGCGGGTCACCTGCCGCGGCGCAGCTGTGTGGCCGGCTCCCCTCAACCCAAGATCGCATCTGCCCCGACGCCGCCTTCCCAACCGGCTGTTTGCCCATGCGACGCGACGGCCGAGACGCCACGAAAGAGGTCACGCATGTCACGCCTGTCCAACTCAGGTAATTGCGTGGCATGGGAGCTGACATCCTCACCGCGGACGACCTGAAAAAGACAGCTTTAATTTCACTTCATTCACAACCGCTCTAACTATTAAGGCCCAACTCGTCGCGAGTTGCCTGGCATTTAATAAAGGCATAAGTGTACCGCAAATCAACGATAGGAACTGTGTGTATGTCCGCATCAGTGACAGCGGGCATACTCACGACGCCTCTGCGTCTGCACGCTATCTCATTTCATGCTCTGCATGCAGTTTGTTGCTGCATGCTTCGACAATATTTCTACCTAATATCATACAACTGTTCACCCACAGTTAGTGCTGGGATTTAAATATTTTGTAGGCCTTTTCTTTTAAAATGGCCATGAAATAAGTGATAATTTTTTAAATGGACGTTAATTTTGTTTCCGTGCCAAAATATGGGTACTCGTTATGAGGACGTTTTGTGCTAAAAGTTGGTGTGGCAGCGATCACGCCAGCCATGCCACGTTCTGCGACATGCCAGTATAATTTCATCTGCCAAAGCTTTGCCAGATACAAAATCACGAACTTAAAAGTCATGTTCCGCCATGTATCATCTCCGTGCATCCGAATTTTGCAGCCAACGAAACAGGGTGATGGTGACGGCGAGCGACGATGGTAAGACTTTAGAGGCAGCGAAAAGTTGAACTACGGGGCTTTTTACCATGCATGTTCCAAGTGACTACCAACACGAGAAATAGAACAACGCCATGCGTTGAGGGCTCACAATTAAACTGAAACGCTTGCAGTTACTCCCTATTTTTGTTCTGTCATCTCCTTCATCGATCGTTAAATTCCTTGATGTCAAGAGACAGCGATTAAATATAAAATATGAACTAAATATAATTGTGTCTCTGCGAGAGTCCAGACGGAGATGCGGAATGTTGTTTCTCATTTGTGTGGCTTTGTTGGTCGCCCCGGGATATCACCAGGGGAGATGCGCTCCATCGTTTGACTGTCTTGTAAATTAGAACCCTCGCGGCACTGTTGCGTTTGTCATTACTGTTCGACGAGGGACCTTTTTGAATCTGAAAGTAACGAGATTCGTGATGAATTGTAAGGCTATAATTGTCTTGGGATGATGCTCAAGCTGTGTGTAAGGTGATGTGGGGCTGTTAAGGCTGGCATCACGAAATTACACTCACAGCTTGACATTTCCATCTCTTGTAGACACAGTTTGATCCAGCTCCACCTGAGCACTTCTGATTTTAAGAATGTACTATCATCGAAAAAGTGCACATGTCCAAAGTATGAGCAATTCATTGTAATACCATACCAACAACCAACGTCAATGAAGGAAAATACAAATTTGTTGAACATGCTGAGCAAGCAACATCCGCTTCACGCAATGGCACACGTTTTCGACGCTAGTGAACAGGGACAAAAGTGTCCATATTTAGGAACTTAACACGTCCGGTTCCATTGAGCTATTTTCTTGGTACCTGGAGTTCTGGCATTCAAGCAAATTATAAAACCACGGAGCCAGACAGCGGCACTGACAAGACCATGTAGTTAATGAGACACTCAGCTTCTTCGATGTACCACGCCCCCTCCCCACTCTTGCCGGACGCCGGTGCGCCCGCAGCGCGCGCCGTATGATATTTTCCGTTCGATCGGTAAAAACGGCGACTTTTTGCGAAGCCATTGTCCATCCCCTCCTTCATATTGAGAGCATAAATATGCTCCGCGTCGCGGGCGGCAGCCCCGGACGGCGGAAGTGACCCAGGGGGGCCCGCTGTCGCACCCGGGGGTCGGGCCGGCGCTGTGACCCCCACCGCTGATATACTGGCCGATGCAAATGCGGCGTCTATTCGTATTGGCGTCCTGCGTAGCTCGACGGTGCAGCGTCTGCGCGGCTGCGGTCAACAAAAACGGGGCGCCGCCGGCCGCAGCGGGGCACGCTTGGGCGGCCGCTGCGCCGGCCGACCGGACGGCATTACCGCTAAGCGATCCCCCGGCGACCGTGCTAACCCAATCACGGACGCCCGGCAGGGTTCTGCGGGGGAGGGCGGTCGTCGGCACCGACACACCGGGGAGGGCGGGTCGACGGCACCGACACGTCGGGGAGGGTAGGTCGTCGGCACCGACACGCCGCCCGACGAAGGCCTGGGGTCAGCCAGGAGACCTCATGTCATGCAGCTTTTCTTTGGGCTTTGCTAGCATTCGCATACTCGAATATTGAATGGGCTCATGTGAGACGCGTACTCTAAAGTAGATGCACACGCATGGGAACCGGACTGGAGGGCGGCGGGGGGGGGGGGGGGGGCTGGATGGCCACGGCCTTTCCACTTCCGTGAATGTATCCTATGTTGCTTGACAAACCGCGCTTATTTGTCATGCATCATAGGACTAAAATTAGTCTTATGATGCATGAAAAACCGCGCTTAAAGTAGGGATGCTATACGAATTATTGAAACGGCGCTAGGTTCTGCAGCGCTTAGGTACCATCGCGCTGCGAATCTACCCAGCGCACAGGGCAGATTTACGGTGTTGGTAAAGATAGTCTTAAATCTGGCTATCAAAACCAGGCCTGACTAGGCCAAGCATGATGCCGCCAAGCTCTTGAAGTGTTGGTGTGATGTATTCACCGCAACGTTGAGAACATTGCAAGGCACATGAAATGTATTGCATTACCTGAGGATCAACGAAAATCTTTAGATGAGAAAACTGACTAGCAGCTGTTTCGACGGCGGCAATCAGTCCTATGATGTACATCATGTGGTCGTCACTTCAGACCATTCCCAGCCCCTCCATTTTCCGTCCTTCTATTTGTGTTTCTCTCTCCTACCCTCCACTTCTTTCCTTGCGCTCTCTTTCACTCCTATCTATCTCTTTCCGCTTCTCAAGCACACTTCTGTCTGATCTGCTGTGGTGTGCTTCTTGCTACTCCCTGCGCACTTAAAGATGGCCGAGGAGAAAAATGGTGCGAGTATTGCCCGCCGCTCTGCTGTTTGCTTTTCCAAAATGTCGAAACGGACGTGGCATTTTCCCACCAATAATCCTTAAAATGTTCCGAAGGAACAGTCTCCACGACAAGCTTCCCTCGGGGGACATAGCGAGAAGGCACTGTCCTGTTCGCTTTGTGTGAAGGTGACGTCCAAAATGTACCCAAACGTAGGAGAATTATTATTATTCAAGGTGTGTCACTTACAGTATCAATATCAGAAATGTAAGCAAATGAACTAAAAAAATAAACCAAGTACGCGCTATCCGGCATGCCAAGTAGAACATCGGCGGACCTTTAGACTAATGTCTCATGCAGCCTGCGTGACCTGGGAGCTCGTGACCAGGGAGTTCGGGACCTGGAAGCTCATGACCAGGGAGCTCGGGACCTGGGAGCTCGTGACCAGGGAGCTCGTGACCAGGGAGCTCGTGACCTGAGAGCTCGTGACCTGGAAGCTCGTGACCTGGAAGCTCGTGACCTGGGAGCTCGTGGCCTGGAAGCTCGGGACCTGGGAGCTCGTGACCTGGAAGCTCGTGACCTGGAAGCTCGTGACCTGGAAGCTCGGGACCTGGGAGCTCGTGACCAGGGAGTTCGGGACCTGGAAGCTCGGGACCTGGAAGCTCGTGACCTGGAAGCTCGGGACCTGGGAGCTCGTGACCAGGGAGTTCGGGACCTGGAAGCTCATGACCAGGGAGCTCGGGACCTGGGAGCTCGTGACCTGGGAGCTCGTGACCTGAGAGCTCGTGACCTGGAAGCTCGTGACCTGGAAGCTCGTGACCTGGGAGCTCGTGGCCTGGGAGCTCGTGGCCTGAGAGCCTAGCTTCACAAGCCTCCTCTGCTTGCGCTCGGTGACTGGACACACCATTGTAAGACATAAGCAAGTGTGGATGATCGTGAAATTTTAAATAGTGCGTTTACGTCCAGGGTGCCACAGTGGAGGTGATTGTCTAATATGATGAGGAGTGTCTTTAGAGACAAAAATGTTCAAATGTTTAATTATTTATCATGTAAAGAAACACGTCATATCAAGTGAAACATCATCCAGATATACGCTGTGCCATATGAGGCATTAGTTTACTTGTGTAAAAAAATCAATTGACTAGATGCTATAATATGATGCAGAACTGCTGAAAATTCGCCGCGATTCACCGTCAAGCAATCAGCTGATGGAGTCCACATGTGACGATTTTTACCAACAACCAAAAATTGGCAGGGTTGTCTCCCCGGAATTCGGGAAAACCAGATCCATTTCACGATGATGACTGTTTGTAGTTCGGGTCGAGAAAAACCATCATCGGTACCGGTGATACCTCACATCGTCATCGCACGCATAGATCGCCCCTGGGGACGCGTTGACAAGTATTGCCAACGTATCCCTGTTGCGCTCCGGATAATCCACAATATACAGAGCGATGCAGCTCGACTCCCCCCACCAATACACGTTTCTGCATTCCTCCGACGTTGCGGCACGACTCACGCCACATCTGCGGTGCAAGGGCCGGCCCAGCAGGCCGGCCGCGACACCGCGCTGCTTGGCTGCCCGCTGCCACGACCGCTTGGCAGGCACCGCCGGCCGCCGGAATGTGAGCTCCAGAGCCCACGCCTGCGCCCGCCGCCACGGCGGTCCTCGCCGGTGCACAGATATCAGCGCGGCGATCACACCGCGTCACCAACCTCACCCCCCCCCCCCCGTTTCACCCCCACACCTCCGTAAATACGAGCGCGTCCGGAATCGATTTCGGGCCCGTCATAACCGGCCATTGTAATTTGCGGCCGTATCTCGGCCGGGAATGCGATCGGCCTGCCGCCTATCGGCTGATCTCGGACATAACTCGGCCGGCGGACGCGGCCCCTTTGTGCGCGGCGCGGACCCGTGTAACCCTTGTACGCCATATCTCGTCTGTCACTTCGCGATGTCGTTGCCGCATGGGAATGTCCGCCAACCGCGACTGTTTTTCCAGGCCCGACGGCGCCACACTGCGCCGTGTATGTAAAAATCGGTAACTTATTGTCCCCGAACAGAGGACTGGGCGTTATTGATTGACTTCGGGGAGGGGAGCCAAAGACAACTGCGCGCAGCGCTTGTAGTGTGGTTCATTGGAAGGGGGATGGTGTTTTCACCCGAATGGCTGGCAGGCCAAGTGATCAAAATTATTGTTGGGTGACGTTTCTTGGAAATATGAGCAAAGAACTGGCTAATTGTATGCCCTGGGACGCTTTGCATAAATACGTTTGCGCAGATGGTGAATAAGATTAATTAGTCATGCATGCCTTTTGATGAACAACAAATGATACGATCGCCCCTTTGGATGCTTGCCTGGGTTATAATTAAATGTTATGAACTTACAAGTGCATTTATATCAATCGCAGTTGCGAGACACATACCAGTGTTTAATCGTGCATAACAGTTGAAACCGACGGTGCGGGGGGACGCTGTCAGAGGCTTGTTCCCAACTTCTTTGAAATGTTGCGTACAATCCGTCACGGCGTGCGCCAAAAAGTCGAAGAAAACGGAGACCCGTCTTCCGCCGCACCAATGAACCTACCTAAACCATGAGATGCTTACGACCGCAGCATTGCTGCCGTGACCACCAACGATATCATAGCATAAGCCAAATAATAAGGCGCATCGATTACGTGTCAAGGCCCGAACCTTCGCGACTGTAAACGTTCTCAACTATCACTCGCCGCTTAACATCTCCCATAAGCCACCTCGCTCGCCCCTCAGTAGTCATAATTTTTGGCAGATTCATCTGCCCCCCCCCCCCCTCCCTATCTGCCGTCAGGTGATCTTTTTCCCTTTTTTCGCCCATCAGTGCATCAGTAGTCCCACCTGTCTGTCATTCGTCCGCTCGTTCAGAAGTTGCCCTGCTCGTCCAGCAATCATCCCGCCCGTCCAGCATTCATCCCACTCGTGCGATTTCCCAGTTGTCCGGCAAGCGTCTCACTCGCCCAGCAATCGTTTCACTCGTACAGCAGCCGTCCTCCTTCGTCCCGTAATCTTGCCACTCGTCCGGTGTTGACCTGACCGTAATTCGGCTAACCCATTCGTAGGTCAACACCGGGTCTCACGGTATCCCAGTCAGTGACGAATCTCACGGTATCCCATTCAGTGCTAGATTTCACGATATCCCAGTCAGCACCGGATCTCACGGTATCCCAGTCAGTGCCGAATCTCACAGCATCCCAGTCAGCACGAGATCTCGCGTATCCCAGTCAGCGACGGATCCCACTTGCCCGTCAGATATTCCACGTGACCCTGCGGCTGTGGTATCCTTTTGATGCCTCACTTGTGCTCCAGATATACCAACCGTCCATCAACTGCCCCACTCGTTTGTCAGTTGCCCCACGTGTACATTAGGTATCTCAGCCGCCCCCAGCTATCGTCTCACCAATCCAGGTATTGTTCCAATCTTCCGTCAGTGACTGCCAGTTGTCCCGCTTTCCTGTCAATCGTCCCACTTGTCTCCTGTTGTCCCGCTGGACTGTCAGGTCGTCTCAGCCATCCCAACAGCCGTCTCATCCATCGAGCAGTGATCCCACTCTCGCGTCACTTGTCACGCTGTCCCGTCAGTCGTCCCACTTTTCCGTCAACTATCCCACTTGTCTGTCAGTTGTTCCATTTTCCGTCAGCCCCCGACGAAAGCGCAGAAGGGTCACGTGGGTCCGTTTAGTATCCTCCTGCCCGCATCATTAATCAGACGCTGCCAGGGCGCCCGTCCGGCTATATAATTATCGACTCCCTGATAACAGGAAAATTACCCCTTACCGATCGCCTCTTGTTACCGGTCTGAATTTACTGCCGGTGGCGTGGCGGGCGCGGTCGCTGGTCGGTGGAGGAGAACGGACATGTCCCCTTGTGAAGTATGGCCCACAGGGACCGAAAGCGTGGGAAGATCAGCGATCAGCTTTGGAAGTAGGGTACTTATGGAAACCTCGGATAGAAATGTGACCGGTTTGCCATGAAGTTTACATAAACTGATCTAAAACGACTCGGTCGGTTTCGCGGAACGGATGACATGGGAAAATTTTCCGGGAAAGTTGACTTTGATCAACTTGTCAATCAAGAAGGTTGACAAGAGGTTGAAATCTCGCAAAAGTTTGATCGGAGCCTTCATTTAAGAATCTAGCAAGCTCAAGGCCGGTGTCTTTCAGGATTGACTCAGCACTCGTAAGATTCTTCCTCATATAGGTGGTGCATGAAGCATCGCAGACTTCTGCCCGGAACCTCTTAGGGGTTAAGAAGTAGGATCGCAAAATCGGTTTTCCGTTCAGGTTTTTCATGCTACGGCTTATGGTTAACACTAGTATTTAAAAGGTTTTTGGGGTTTATCATATTTTTCCTCTTTTTCGTGTAAATGCCAACTGACTTCACTATGCCACCATGCACACGATTTGAAAAACTCAGCTTTCAAATTCAGCTTCATTTGCTATTTTTCCCACCAAACTTAGTCTACAGAAATTATGTTCCCGCTTTCTGTAACTGGGGTCAAAATCATAACCATCTGATATAGCCACGCGATCCTCATGTACATAGTCATCAAAGTTATGCACCACATGCTTGTTCACTTCCTCGCACAATAGTTTGGACCATTTATCTGGCGTACAATAACTAAATTTAATTTATTTATACCAATCACCAGTGCTGTGGTCAATATCGCCGACCTCGTATTTGCTTTTTCATTCGAAGATTTCCACTGAATTAATCATCCGAACCCATGAAAACATACATTCGGCGCCGCCAAACGTAGGTGAAAGGGCGGTGAGAATACGACAAAATTGAAACATTACGATGCTTCATAGATTAGAATACCCTGATGCCTTTCCTTCGTGTAATGAACAAGAAAATCAGCATATGAAAATGTCTTTTGCTAACTCATACCATAAAGACGGTATGCCACCTTAAGTGACAGTAAACATAACTCACTTGAACCCGAATATGAGCTTTACGACGCGACCTCGGTGAGAAGAGTTGTACTCAGCTTCGCATCGAGCAATAATCACCTACATCCGTCTTGTTGTTTGGGTTAAAGGGACGTAACAGTGGGCAATATTTCTGCCGTTGGGCTCGAGTGCATGCAGAATGACTGAAAGTACTGCAGTGTATGCTAGACGTATCCATATGTCTTATGTGTCCCAAATGCATATTTTCGTACTGTCTGTGTATGGAAGTGTAGCTTCAGGTTATACTTCAATAAACAGAAGTTGAAAAACTACCGAAAGTTATATAAAATCACACTTCGCACGGTAATCCGGTGCTCTCCTTTGCACTAAAAATACCCTGTACCCACCAGCGACGGTTTGTTTGGCTGGGACAGTGCCTACCTAAGGAAGAACAAAATTGTGAAATAACGCAATGTGACCTGGTCCTAAAATTACGCCACGAGCAAATTGATTTGTAAGTAACCACTGAACCTATCTGGAAGCAGTGTTGACTTGTGTCATCACAAATCGACTTGGCTAGTTTTCAATAGTTTTCAGTAGAGTCGAGGTATATCCAATGATTGTACACTTCGTTTCAATATGCTCTGCTTAGCTAGTTGCTTAAACGGAGCGTCCCACCTGTAGGGCATGTTTTAAAAACATGCTGTGGTGAAACCTCAGTACCATTTAGTCTAATATGATGGTGGATGGTGCTGCAGTGGCGCTGGGTAGTGCCACTGCAGCGCTATCGAGGTACGATAAGAAAATTTTAGTTACTTTCGAGTCCAAATATTCCTGTCGACACTTTGTAACAACACTCACTTCTTACCTTCCTTGGTAACCCAAAAAGTGTATCCCGAGTCCGCGACAACTACAGATGTCGCGTCCCCTGTTGTCAACTGCCGTCGTCATGACGACGGCAGAATTTGTTCATGCACGTTG